AGATCTGACAAAGGCAATGTTACAGTGATAATGCTTAAACAACACTATTTAGATCTTTGCAACAATCTCATCAATGATGACCCATCATATCATGAAATTAATAAAGATCCCACACTTAAAGTGGAAAAGAAAAGTAATGACATTGTTAAGGAACTCTTCAGCACTGGACAAATAACCCAAGAACAAAAAAGAACTTTGACTACTTATAACTCTGTCCCTCCCAAATTTTATGCACTTCCGAAAATTCACAAACCTGTACTCTCAGTAAGACCTATAGTTGCATCAATAGGTTCAGCCACCCAGGCTTTGTCTTCATTAATATCGACAACACTAAAATCAGCACATGCAGACAATGATTACTACATCAAAGACTCATTTGAGGTCTCTCGTCAGTTCAATAGATTGACAATACCGGCCGATCATATTATCGCCAGTCTTGATGTGGTGTCGCTATTCAGCAACATCTATCTGGATGCATGTACAAGAACTATTAATAAACACTGGAATGAGATAAGTCAACACTGCAACATATCTCTAGAATCTTTCACCAACATTATAACATTCCTTTTTCATAACAATTATTTCTCTTTCAACAACAAAATATATTCTCAAACACATGGTTGTCCTATGGGATCTGTTCTGTCACCAATTTTGGCGGAATATGTCATGGATGATCTGCTTGATACAGTTATTCCGACACTACCCTATAACCTCTTCTTCATAAAAAAATACGTAGATGACATTATTTTATGCCTCCCTTCCATAGGTCTGGATGGTATTGTCAGAGAATTCAACAGCTATGACCCCTACATCCAATTTACCATTGAAAAAGAAGATGAGAACCTGTCTGTCCCCTTTCTAGACACAAGACTCATTCGCACCAACAACAACAGTTTATTGGTAGACTTCTACCAGAAACCTATGGCCTCAGGTCGGTTTCTCAATTTTAGGTCATACCATAAGCTAGGGATTAAAATCAATTTGGTAAAACAGATGAAAACAAGGGTAATCAGCATCTCAGATAATACCTTCCACACCTCAAATTTACGCAAACTATCAAAACTGTTCATCAATAATGGTTATCCGAAGTGTCTGATTAACAAGATCATTTTTAGTTCACCTTCCAATATTTTGCCGAACTCTGGTGATGCAGGTAATAGTCGCACAACCCCTAATAACGGAACTGATGTAATTCCCAATAATAACATCAATCCTAACAGTACTAGCACCAACCCGGACTCCAGACCTGGTTTTGCTGTCCTGCCCTACATCAAGGAACTGACCCCTAAGCTGATCAGATTGTGCAGTCCTTTGAACTTTCGAATTGCTTGCAAATCCGTCCTCACTATAAACTGCATTTTTTCAAAAATGAAAGACAAAGTCCCGCTGCTTGGCTTAACCAACACAGTCTACTCCATCAATTGCAACAACTGCAACCAAATATACATAGGTCAGACCTCCAGATCTCTCAAAGGAAGGATTACATCACACAAAAGTGATGCTAGGCTTCATCCTGAAAGATGCGCTCTAGCATCTCATGTTAACACAACAGGGCATTCTATGAATTACACAAGTATCAAAGTTCTTGATAAAGAAAAACACCTTTCCAAACGTTTATTCCTGGAAATGTCCCACATTTTCATGAATAACAACTGTATCAACAAAAAGACAGATGTTAAACAACTGAGTGTCATTTACTCATATTTGCTAAACTGCGAAAAATTGGAGAACTTACATATCTCCCCAAATTTCAACTCTTCACAACCATAATTAGAATCTGTGTTTTGGCCGTTTCCACCAGTAAATTTCATTCCACTCAAAATATAATAATTCTCTCCTCACGATTTATTAATAATTGTTAATTTAAATTCCCATTAATAATAATATAGTTTATTCAACTGCCTCTGGTCGGTTTAACAAATTCCATCATAAAATTCTGAAAATCTCTTCATCTGAAGTGATTTGGCAACGTTTTTGGCACACGCCCACAATTCGTTCCATCTTTCAATACTGACATTGACATCCTTCGGCCTTCTGTCAAAGGGTTTCATGTCACTCATCAATTCATCATTCCATGACCACTAATTTGTGCAATCATCAGGTGGTTTCACGATGTAATGTTTTAAATTTTTTAAAATAATTTTTAATCTGTTTTTAACGTGTTCTTGTCATGTTTTGTATAAATTTTGACTATTGTGCAACCTATTCAGCTCTCACCATGTTACTGGACGTTTCCCTCATCCTATACGAAAACAACAATTAGCAACATTCTCACATACTACTGTAAGTTGAGTCAATTTAAATTCATTTTACACCTTTGTTGCTACTGTTATCATTGTAATTACAGCTCCTGATGATGATGGCAAAGTCCATTGAAAGCTAGAGAGAATTAAAAAAAGTATAAAGAGTCCTCTTTGCTTAAATCTTGTCGAAGTACCCAACAAAAAGCGGAAGCTTTAATTTTTCACCTAACTGGTCTAGACGACAATGACCACGTCTCAAGTTATGTATATATATATATATATATATATATATATATATATATATATATATATAATTACATTACTGTACCCTGACTAACAGGAAGCGCACTTTAGGGCACATCCGGCATCGATAAATCACCGCGTAGGGCTCAGCATTACTTTTCTCCATATAACCTCCTCACTTTATAGACCCAGATAATACAGCTGCGAGTACTGCTCACATTTTTGGAGGGATGCCATTACGACTACATTCTCCTTGCTCGATACTGTTCAGACGAGGGCTGCCCGACCGGTCGATGACTGTTCTATGAGGGACAATCTCGCGACCCTTTATGGGTCACGATAGTTCTGTTCCTTTCCAGACGTTTTCACATCATTTTCATTATGTAAACTGCCCTAATTTTCTTATGAACTGCACAGGTGTGTCTCCATGTCCCCGGCACACCTTTGAGCATCCTTTTGGAAACGATAGATATACAAATACGATGCTCAATAGAACTGATTTATCATTATAAATCTCCGGCTGACCTAGTCAAAGTAGCTATTGTAATACCCCCGTATACAACTGAAACAGCACGGCTCTAGACCAATGGCGCGCAAGCAACAACCAGAATGGCGGCGGGTGATCTAAAAATTCAAAGGGAAATAAATCTTATAAGTAATAAAAATGGGCGTGAAAGGTACGCCTGCGAGTTACAGAATCTGCACGTGCACCTTTCACTTATACCATATCTAAAACTTATCTTCCTTTCAATTTGTAGATGACCTGCCGCCATTCTGGTTGTTGTTAGCATGCCATTGGTCTATAGCCCTTCTGCTCCATGTGTATACGGGGGTATTACAACAGTTATTTTGACTAGGTCAGCTGGAGTAGACTTTCGTACATGGAGATTTATCATGATTTATCGATTCTAATGAGCATTCTATTTGCCTTACTATCATTTTCAAGAAGGTGCTCATAGCTCACCCGGGGAGACTGTAACATGGAGTCACATCTGTGCATTTTATAAGAAAATTAGGGCACTTTACATAATGAAAAAGATCTCAAAGCATCTGGTGGACCGAACCACCGCAACCCATAAGGTTTATAGCCTTCCACCAAAACCTTTAACCTGGGAATGGGGGAAGTGCCACATAGGGGCACATAAACACTCAAAAGGGTGCTGAAATAGAAATTGAAAACATCAAGTAAATAACAGCCGAAAGAGGTTTTTTTTGGTAGAATTTTCCTTATGGGTTGCGATGGTTCGGTCCACCTGCAGATGTTTTGACATCTTTTTTATTATGTAATCTGCCCTCATTTTCTTATAAAATGCACAGATGTGACTTCATGTTACTCGATTTATGCACTTCTCCATCACATATATATATACAACCGAATGTAGAGCTATAGTCCTAGTTGTTTTAAATCCTCTTAAAAGTAGTTTTTGAAATTTTAATCAGATCAAAAGGCATTCTTATGGGTATGTTCATTTGTAAGACCAAAAGGTTCGAGATTACGTTAGAATTCTACAATTCAGTAAGTATTGGGGTGGTACAGTTTGTAAACCGGTACAATATACTCTACTTTTCTTTACAACTAAAAGTCAACTATCTATATTTTCGAGATTCCTATATGCTCCTAACAAGACATCTGCGTCCTAGAAGGCCAGCTGTCATTTTTTTGATCGGCTTCACAATGAACCATTGGTTTTCCAGAACTGAACTGAAATGAAGATGAGGTTGAGTGGCGGACTAAGAGGGCGCGGATGGGGTGGATCGCCCGGTACCTGTATAAAACTTCCAAATGTTGAGAAAACCCAATTTATAATCATTAAATGAATATTTTTTTATAATTGCTCAATAAAACAAGGCAGAAAGGAGTTACATTTCCTAAATTTTTGTGTATGACAAGCTACGCTACCAAGAGATAATTTTATTTGAATATAAACACTGCGTACGCATTTCGCCGGGCCGTTTCTGCCAACCTGAATCAAGCTTGCATGTTTGAATGCTCTGTCCAATTTGCATAAAACTGTACCGATGGTATACGGCCATGAAGGAAATTAACAAAATCTTTCTAATTGTTATTTTGTTGGTTTTTGTTCATTTCAATCATGAGAGCATTTCAGGACGTATCGTTACTGTAAGCCTTTGTTTTTCAATTGTTAATCAAACACTCGCTCAATGGTTTGTTCAGAATGTCCCAAAGAGCACTTTGACCGAGAGAACAAAGCAATTTTCTCAATTTGTCCTCTATTGCGGACATACCTACAATTGTCTTTCGTGCTTCATCTAAGTTTCCGCAAGGCTACTTGTCTTTCACTGTGGAAACTTCCTTCGACTGTTTGCATTTCTCGTACTAATACGCTGTTTACTACAAAAATCGATCAAAATGGGTAATTCATGTAATTAATATTGATTATTAAGAATCAGTTTTAAGAAAAAATAATCGATTACCGAATTTTCAATATCTAAGTCTCCTGAAACACAGCACCTTCTAGAACGAAAGCTAAGTCCCCCTATCCAATTTTGCAGAGAACCGCTGACACCCAATTAGGGAACTGCAGTTGTGTGCAGTGGCAGCACGTTTGGTGGAACAACGGGCTAGATAACAGTACGTAAGTGCTACATATGCTTATTTATGCCTTATTTCATTTCTTTTTGGTGCATTTGTACTTTGGTTCTGAAAAACTGTAATACACGTTATATTTTTGAACATGATAATTTAAGAAATAATGAAATTATGGCTCAAAATTGACTATAAAGCATGTTATCTATCGTACATCACGTACGCCAATTTTTATATGGTAAAGAACTATTATGGGGCTTAAAAACAATGTATTTTCTTATTTTCTGACATTTTTGGTGTTCAGACATTTTTATTATAGCCAAAATAGTACCTGAAAGCTTGAAACTGAGCAATTTTAACTTTTACAAGATGGCGGCCAAATGTGCTTAGGTGTCATGTTTTCTAATAGTCCTCTACCAAATCTGATTCATGCACACGATGCATAGGATTTGGGGACCGGTTCTCAAAAAATGATGATGAAAATGCGAACATCAGCATCAGTGCAGCGGCCCTTGTGACAAAAATATATTAGTGAACTTCGAGCATATTTTTATCATTGCAGTGGTCTTTTGGGGAGGAACTCTCACCTCGTTCCCCCCTTCCTTCCTGTGGGTCCGGCAATGCAACTGTCACTTTCGCGCTAAAACAAAATTCATGCATCAATCTTATCACACCGATTTTTGGCTCACTAACTTGACCTTCTCAAAAACAAGTAGGAATGACATTTATGATGGATTGAGTTAGTACGCTGAAATTTGGGACAATGAAATTGATACATGGACATTATATATTCGTGTGAAAATGGCAATTGAAACTAGGATGGCAGGTTGTCAAAGCGTTTCTACTTCCCACGCCTGAGACACGGCGGAGAAAAATGCCAAGAAAAAAAAAATCGCATCAAACTTCCTTGTTTGACATTCCAGCCGATTCTGATTATTGTTGAAAAAACTTTGGCAGGCGCTAAAAATTGACGATTAGGGGTTGTAGTCAGAGAGAGAGAGCAAGGTAACTTTTTTCTCAGAAGAGCTAGTTTGTGCCAAACGCAATCCTTTACAAACAGCATAGTATGGGAAGTACAAAGTCAACTTAATTGACGCCATCTTTTCAATGGCAACATGAAATGCCTTCCAATATTTTTTGGGGCCCGCCATTTCGATGTTTTAGAAGGAACTCAAAACGTTGTCTAACTGGAACAAGGTTTAAATATTCTTTACGTTATATTTACTTTAAGCCCGCCACCCCCAGACCTACGAGACCCACGCGCACTCAAGTTCTATATACGCCACTGACATACTTCAAATTCAGCCGTTCCCGTGTGATCTCTGCCGTACTCTTTATCCCATTCAGTTCTTTCTCTTCAAGAACGATGTTTAACCGACATGTCAATAATTCGCAGCTCGCGTTTCGTTATAGAAACAACTGATAACTGACTTGCTTGCAGTGGCAAAATTCGAAACGACCGACGCGATTTGGATGAGTGATGAGTGATTTTAGGCCAGTTGCTACACGATCCAGTCTTAGTTTCAGTCTACTCTAAGCAGAACCTCATCGTTGCCAGTTTTTAGATATCTAAGAAACCCAGGCATTTTCAAACAAACTTTGATCCCTTATTTTGGCACTGCCTCAAAATTCGTTCTTAGCTAAAATGTCCTGTCAATAACCTACCTCCCTGCAAACATTGATGTTTGTAGCTCAAACAATCTCCGTTGTTTTGTGATTAATGTGTAACCTTTAGCTCTTATATGTTTCAAATTCGACCCTCATCATTAGGATCTCGGAGACTGTAACAGATACAGTACGTTGCTTAAACGGGGACAAAGTTGCATATCTGAGCAGCTCAGAATGTTTCAAAATTGAAAGTACTGATTGAGAGCCGGAAAAAAAACGAATGTTCCCAAGATGGTACCGATTTTATTTGTAGTGAGATCTCAAATAAATTGCACATTAACATTGCCACTTTTCTTCATCTTCAAGATGACATAATTAAAATCTGGTCTCTGGTTCTCCAGCATCAACTTCATTTTTTCCTATGTACGCCATATTGGTTTTTTTGCATAAATAAATGGAATTTTCAATTCTGACTCCAAAAACGTATACATTACCAAGCCTTGGTTATTTCAAAAAAGCAGAATTTTCTAGGTAGGTCTTGAAATGATCGGATATTCATTTGCTTCTCATACCAGATTTATACAAAAATCACTTTTATTTTTCCTGGCTTTACTCCGAACCAAAAATTTCCAAGCATCCGCATTGTCTACAAATTACAAACAAATTACACAGTAACGTTATCACTTTTTCTCGTCTACACGGTGGCATAATTAGAATTTCGATCTGACGTTTCAGCTCTCAGATTTTTAAAACTATACCGTTTTCGATTTTCTCCATGATTATGTTTAAATAATATAAATGAGTTACATATGTTGTTCCTCATTCGATGAGTTTAAATCAGCTATATAAAATTAGGCAGATGAAGTTTTATATCAATTCGTAACATGTTGTCATCTTTGATATTCTATGAAACAATGATGACAATTTGATAATTTCAAGGCTTACTCAAGAAAAAAATGTACCACAAGACATATGACAGATATACAAAAGTGTCAATGTCAATGTGCAGTTTATTTTGAAATCCTTCCTCAAATATGTTCAGAAAATTATATAGAAACGATTATGGAAAAATTCGTTTCCTTTTTCGTGCATCTGTGTAAATACTGGAAGCGTCAATACCTTTCAAATGCATTTTCTAAAATATATAAATACGCAACACAAGTTTGCTATAACGTATTGCAAACGAATTATTACTTAAAAAAGCGTCTCGTGCAATATTTGCTTGTTGTTTTTGAAGGTGCCCCCCTCGGTTTTGATCTGGGTACGCCTTGATATTGGGTCAGGCAGATTGCAAGCCTGCCGTCAGTGTGAACGCGAGGCAATATAATATGGTATATTCAAGCGGATGCGAGTGAGATATTGTTTGTCTATGGGGAACTTTTAGTACGCATATTTGATTTACTGAATTTTATGTGGAGCAGTGTTTGAACAAAATTTTTGTCCAAAAACCAATAAACAAATTTAATAGATATAATGCATCTATAGAATTTTGGGCTTTTGTTTACTTTTTAGAAAAGTTCGATTATTTACCATTGAAGGGGACCAGGGAGGTAGCCATGAAGTGAAGAGGGAACAGCACTCAAGAACAGATTCGGGATCTAAGGGTACATACTGAAAGATGCTTACTGTTATCCTTTCTTCGCTACCTCAATGTGCGCTTCCTCGCACCATTCTACATGGATAAAGGGTGATCATACTGAATTCACCCTCGACGTTTTCTCTTCTCTTCTCGAACGCGGTTCTTGATGTTTTATTTGTTCACGCGCAAACAACAAGGCAGGATGTCGTCGAGCGGCAGTGACAGTGAAAGTGAATTGTAACCAGTAACCAAGTGGTAGAGGTTTAGTTCTCTGCCAATTCGAAAATACAGTACACATCCAGTAAACAAAGCGAGACAGGAACTTGGAGAGTACCACCATCTTTTCCTCGAATTGAAGAGAGACACGGAAACATTCCACTCCTACATGAGAATGTCGATAGATACATTTGGTTACAGACTCGACAAAGTTGAGCCTCAACTGGACGACCGCAAGTACACCAACCTACACAGTAATCCAATTCTTGCTGAGGAACCAATCACAGCTAAGTCCACCCCGATGTTTCCCTCCTGACAACCAGTTAAAAACAAAATATTCGTTCTTCGGCGCACTCGACCACGAGGAGGCGAAGGTAACGGGGCAGAATGCATCGTCACCACCAACGCTCCCAACTTAAAACACGTGTTTGTTTCACATAGCGGTTAGACCGAGGAACCGATCATCGAGGTAGCGAAGAAAGCATCGCAGTATGCATCTTGCATTATGAACATACCCTAAGGGCGGTCGCGATGAGAAATTGGCATCAATTTGGCGGTGTTCAAGGAGCCAATCTGAGAACGTTCGGCACGAAAAATGGTCGGCCCGACACAGCTCTTGCGTCAATTGGATCTTGTAGGCGTGAACATTCAAATCCTTGTGGAGAATGCGGAGCAAACTGGTTCTCGAAATGCCCAATTCTTGGGATCGACGCGTTGTTGATTGTTTCGGATCGTCTCTCACACTCTCCTTCACAACAGCAATATTTTCCGGTGTGCGAACGCTCCTTGGCCGCCCAGAGCCTGGCAGATTTGCCACAGAACCTGTTGAATCGAATTTACGTACCAGACGACCGATGGTTGTTTCGTTTGGGCGGTTGTTGCGACCGAAATGTTCACGAAGCGCGCGAAACGTGTTTTTTATTTTTGCACCATTTTTGTAGTGCTTTTGAATAACTTTAATGCGGTCTTCAATCGAATACGACTCCAAAGCGATCAATGGTAAACATTCAACTAACAAAATGGCATGTCGGTGACAGAAAACAAAGATGGCGTCTATGTCAAATTGACGTTTACTTTCCTGCGTCCCTATTGGACAACCCTTTATGACCTGTTACAGCTTCTTGGTACCATACTCCGTGAGACATAGTCTTCGAACCAAAGAAATGGAATGACGCTACAGAGGTTTGCCCCTCTGAATAACAATAGTCGAACCAGCTTATGATATCCAGTCTAACTTATTGTACCTGGGTAGTTGCAACTATATGCACAATCTTAGTTGTCCCTTCAAGGTACCACAATCTGTGAGGTGCAGTGTTCGAGTTGGGAGGTATAGAAGGTAGAAAAGGAAATACCAAAAAGGTAGGTTTATTGTAATATTTTATTGTTGTTATACAAACATGAATGTTTAGGCTCGTCAATTTTGGTAAAGACGTTTTATCTAGATGTATAACTTCAGTTGCAATTTATATATAACGTATGTATATATATATATATATATATATCAAAATTTTAGTGACACAGTCTCCAAACTGAAATTTGTCAACTTCATGAGAAGTTTCACCGACTTTAGGATGGACACAGGATGCACTTAGATGTACAATTCAGTCCACTGTGAACATTTATGCGAGAAACAAACCAAAAACGGAAACTGCGTTAGAATTGAACAGACTGTTTGTTGTTAAGTTGTTTGTCTGAAATGTGAAAAAATAATGTTTTAGCGGTTTCTATTTTTGTTTTGTCTTTGGCCTTTTTCTTTGCTGCTGCTGGGATTGTATCAACATTGTCTAATTTCATCGAAAACCGAGCTATATTTCTCAAGTTGTAGGCGGTTTTAAGATTAACCGACAGACAGACCGACAGAAAACGAACGAAATGGTTTTTCGTGATGTAAATGATATCCAAAATACATAATATCTTATTTTAGGTTAGATTGGTGCTTGTAAAGCGAACAGCAGATTGGCAAGGCTCACTGTGGGGGTCAAGAACAAAGTCTTTTTTCCGGAAAAAATAACAATGAAAAATAACTATCACTATTTATTCCGTTTCAAACGAGTATTCGAATTGTCAGAGAAACTGATTAAGGTACACACGAGAACTACACATATTTCACATTTGTCTAAATAATAATTGCGTTTTGAATAAGCTTATCACGCTCGACGAAATGTCAGTAAAGCCATTTACCAAACATCTGCGGTTTTATTTAAGGTATGCTTACATTTAAACAGGTTGCAAGCATATGTTGCGCAGCTTGTTCAAGTGGAAACGCTATCTTTTCAGGTACATTTCCGGAAGCATTCTCAGATCCTCAGAAATGTGAACGGTCTGCAGCACATTGCAGAACACGTTGGCGCATTTTTGTCGTCAGTGCGTGTGCCGCAACATGTTGCAGAATATTCCTATTTCCGGCACATGTGCCGGCGTGTCGTTGTACAGTACATTTTTTGGAAAATGGCGTCAAGTAGACTCAGCACTTCATAAGGTATTATGTTCGGTACAAATTGGTCCCTCTGAAAAAAAGTTAACCACTAACACGTATAACAAAACAATTGAAGGGACCAAGTTAGACAAACTCATACAATTAAAATTTGCATATTCACCATGTGTTTTTTACAATTTTAGAGCTGTTTACGATTTGGCTCGTTGAGAAAATATGCTCTCCATTGCTCTTCAGAACGTTTTGGAGGTAGTAACGCATTCACACAAAAGTTATCTCTTGTCGATGGATGGCCCTCCCCCTTCCCCTGTGAAAAATTACTGCGGGCGCATATGCTAGGGTATGTTAGTTTCTAGAGAGGGCAAAAAACAAACGAATATTCCTGACATCGTCGTCTATTGTAATAAATTAAAATTGAAATATTATTATTCCTTGGGATAAATATGCATTTGCATTTGCATTTTGATGCACACGTCGTAAAACAGCACCTGTTAACTGTCTAACTTGAACCTTACATCCAAATAGACATAAAAATATGATTTATTGTTTATACTTGGATCTCAATCTGGAAATATGTGAACGGCATAGATCGATAGACGCTACTTATAGGTACTGTTTCTTTGGAATTGGTATGTTTTCAAGATTGATATTCATTTAAAATAAGAAAACTGATTTAGTGGTCGTTTCTTACGCATCTTACCGGAAAAAGTCTCGATTGACTTCTGTGAAGTGAATGGGCGATTGCGATCTATATCAAATAAGTGAAAATAGCCTTTATGTCGTACCCAAAATACTAATACTGCACGTTTTATGTTGAAAAAGGAATGGAGAAACAGAGACAGCGAAATAAGAAATAAAACTGGAAAACTAATGAACCGTTCTGTATTATAGGTATATACTCGTATTTTGATATTTTGAATAAGAACGTTTGTAGATGATCTTACTGAGTGAAGGTTTTATATACTCGTGAATACGTTTGAGCGGATTTTGTATTTTGCCAAATTCCGAAATTGAGAAATCCTGTTTTTTTATGTGATATGACAGGTACTTAATGAAAAACCAAGTCACTTCTTTTCGTCGGTCTATCTGTCTGTTCGCTAATCCTTGATCCCTGTATAACCTAGAATGCACCAGTCGGATTTTGATGCCACAAACTTACAGCTGTGCCAAAAACGAGAAAGTCTTGTAGATCTTTACAACCGATCCAGTGGTGGCGGAGCTACGCACAATAAGCGAAAATAATGAAAATCGTTTAAACTTCGTTTATTGAGGTTTCAGTGTTTACTACTCATCTTCAGAAAAATATTTTGGGAGAGTTATTGTAAGGAGTAAAGTGTATTTTTATCTTTTAGTGTAGGAATACTTATAATCCACGTGTGGATGCGCGGGCATTCAAGTATTCGAAACTCCTTATACCGCCAAGGAGTAAAAGCTTTGCCAAGGATCACTCTTTGAAAAATTGTCTATAGCATATTTATATATTATGTTATTATATCGTATATTATGTTTTCAGGAATATAGTCACTATAAAGCAAATTAACACATGACTTCAAGCCAAATCATTGACTTCAGCAAATATTTTCAGGTGGACTACTGATACCTGCTTCAACTAGCATTTTGTGTAACACCAAAAATAAAAAAGCAAGCACGTATTTTTAAATGATTTATAGAAGAGACATTGACATAATGTTTCCTCAAGCTCTAGGTCTGGATAGTCTACAAATTCAAAGCCCGCTTGGTGTGATGCAGCAAATCAATTTGACATATTAACCAATTTTTTCTTAACATAGCCTACTACGGTTACTTACGGAATTCTTTTAATGATATCAGATGCAGGTTTGTGTAAAACAGTTTTTAAAACCTCTTCAACAGCTGGCAAAATTAACTTCTCTCCGATAGTATGCGGTTTTCCGGATTTTGCTATAAGTAACGAGATATTGTAGGACGCCCGCAAACCATCATCATTGCTTTGTGACGTCGAAGCGAACATTCTGTCCAGTGTAGGTCTCTTCTGAAATTTGTCTTTGGGTGTTTGAAAGTATTGCAAATATTTCTCTGTTTTGTCAGGGTGGCATCTTCTCAGATGATCTTGCAGTTTAGATGGTTTCATAGCGTCATTCCCCAAAACTTTGTTGCATAAAACGCACATAGGCGATTGTTTGTCCGGCAATGATGGAATGAACCCAAATTTCAAATAATCAACACTGTACTGTCTACATTCCTTTTTAGATTCGGACATCGCATCAAGCAAGACAGAAAATCTAGCAGCTGTATATTAAAAATATTTTTTGATTTTTCCGAAAACATTCCATAATTGAAGACCTCGGGGGAAGAAGGGGATAAGCCACATATTGGCGAACATTAATCCAAATACTGCAGGCACCTTTCCAAACCTATATCCTTGTCTTGACAAAATATTATAAGAATCGGATCATAGAGGGCGCTACAGTTTGCAAACGTTGTTCTTCTCGCGAAAATAATTTTAGGCATTTTACAAGCAATAAGGGGACAAGCCGCATGTATTTTTCAACATGGAGTTGCCACGTGCACATGAAGTGAAGTCAAAACGGTATTATTATGACAGTTCCGATAGTGAAAGTGGTGATGTAATGGATTCAGACGATAGTATTAAAGACAAAGATTATGTGGAAAGTGAAACTAGCAGTGATTCCTCAGAGGTTTCGACAGATGAGGTAAGAAAAACAAAATTGTGGCTTATCTCCTTTTTAACGTATTTTTTGTGGCTTATCTTTAGAAATTTTGTTTTGGTTGTGTCATGTTACAAAATGGAAGTTGTAGGATTTTTGTGAGTTACCATAGTATTATATAAATTTATTTTTAGAATAGTGCAACGATACGCCTCTGAAATATCAATACATATCGTAAAAAAATAAAAATGGTGGCTAATCCCCTTTTTTCCTTTATAAAATTTTCTGTTTTTTGTGAGGCTTATCCCTTTGCTACCAACAAAAATTGAAAATTTTTTGTTACAGGGGGATCCCAACAATAATGATGCAGGAACTGCAACAGATGCCCCACTTACTTCAACAACATCAAGAGGTAGCTTACCCAGTCCAGAAAAATCAAAACCATCCAGATGGAAGAGGCCAAGGAGAGAATGGAGAAAAAAAGAAAAAAACAAAATTAGGAGGAATTTGGGTCACAGCTACAAGAATCACAAGGGAATTGAAGTAACAGCTAGAGAGTTAGGACCACCATGTACCTGCAAGAATAAATGCCGGGAAAAGCTAGGAGAAAAGGAATTGGACATCTTCAAGTCATTTTGGGACTTAGGCGATTATGATAAGCAAAACATATATTTATATTCTTGTATGGAAGCAATTCCTAAAAAGCGGTCATATCCAAAGAAAACAAAAAAACAGGTTTCATCCAGAAATATTTCAATAGAGTATTTTGTCAAATTAAATGGAGAAAATGTTAGACTGTGCAAAAAAGAATTCTTGTCTGTTCACGGCCTCCAGCACAGTAAAAAAAGAATCGAAATACTTTACAAAAAAATGTCAAATGAAGGTTCAATAACGCCTAAGAAAGACAAACGGGGTAAGCACAAAAATCGTCCAAATAGAACCCCCGCTGAGAATTTACAATCGGCTAGGGACCATATAAATGCTATTCCAAAGTATACCAGTCATTATAGTAGAAAAAAGAACCCAGGAAAAGTGTATATAAACCATGATTTAAATATTTCGAAACTATACAAAGATTACTATATTGACTGGTGCAAGGAGCGAGATCTGGTACATGTGTCGGAAGATAGGTATAGACGTATCTTCTGCACAGAATATAATATCGGGTTTAAGCTGCCGAAAAGTGACACATGTAAAACATGCGACATGCTAAAAATTAAAATTGAAGATCCTGGTGCCACTACAGAAGAAATCAAAAGCGATAAAATAAAATTGGAACTACATCAAAGGAGGGCCGAAGCCATGCAACAAAGTTTGAAAAGAGAAACTGAATATGCAAAAATAAGTGGCGATACTTATGTTATAACATTTGATTTGCAGCAGGCTCTACCTGTCCCAAATTTAACAGTTGGACCAGCTTTCTATTTAAGAAAAGCATGGGTGTATAATTTGGGCATTCATGATTGTGTGACAGGTCAGGGTTACATGTACATGTGGCCAGAAAATGTTGCCAAGAGAGGTAGTGATGAAATTGCCAGCATTTTGTACAAACATTTTCGAGAACACTCGATTAAAGGTAACAAAAAACTAATTGTCTACACCGATAACTGTGGTGGACAAAACAAAAACTGATCGATCATCTGTTTATGGCAACAGCTGGTAGTTGATGGATGGTTTGATTCAGTTGAGCATCGGTTTTTAGTTGTTGGTCATACTCATCTTCCTTGCGATCGAGATTTTGCTTTGATAGAGAAGTACAAAAAAGGAATGAGACAGGTGTATGAGCCAAACGACTGGTATCAAGCTGTACAAAAAGCGAAGCGAACAAATCCGTTTGTAGTGAATGTTATTAAGCAGGAGGATATAATATCATTCAAAGATCTACTTACTCAGATCCAGAAAAAAAATGTTTTGGATGACAAAGGCAAACTGAATTTTAGCCATGTTAGTCATTTTAAATTTTGTCATGAGGATCCCAATAAAATGTACGTTAAACATGCAATAAATGAGGAATTTAGAAGTGTCACAATAAAAAAAGAGGCATACGACACAGTATTTCATTACGTTTAAAAGACTTAAAAAGAAAATATTATCAACTGCTTCCTTTAAACAACAAAAAAGTGTCAAATCTTTCCGAACTGCTAAAGTATATCCCACCTATATATATAGATTTTTATCGAGAAATAGGCGCATGTATTGTAGTTACAAACCCAACAACTTCAGAGCAAAATGACGTTGAGGACCTTGATGCTCGCAGTAGTGAAGAAGAGAACGATAATGAAGATGATGAATGAATGTTGAAGACTTTTTTTCACATTTTTACACAATTCCTATTATTTAGAATGAATATCTTTTTTATTTTTTGTTTGGTTATTAATTAATATAATAAGTTGTACAGTACTTTTAAATGTTTGTATTTTGTTAGAAAGAAATTGTTTTTAGTGTATTTTGTATCACTATTACTATTTTGACCTAAAAAACTGTTGAGATAAGATTAGGGCAAAAACGAGATTAGCCACATTTTTTTTAAAAAAACGTATGAAATAAAAAAGTTTTTAAGTTTATATGTTTTTTCATTATCATTCATAAAAATAGATATATTTATCAATCTGTTGCTGAGTTTCATTAATTTACACAATAGAAAAGTTGATTTCGAGATTTGATTGAATATTTTAAATCCATTTTTCTCAGAACCATATTTTTGGGCTTGTCCCCTTCTTCCCCCGAGGTCTTCAATTCGAACATCTTCTTGCAACAATTAGCTCGAATTACGGAGATTGCACTGTAATTATATTACCGATTGCTAAAACTTTCAAAAAGAAACTATTGAGGAGTACTCGTGTAACTTTGCATGACTGAATATTTAACTACTAATAACTAAAGTCATGATTGGCGTAATTTATCTATCTTTGCTAACTACAAGTACAAAACTAAAATTTAATAAAAAATAATGTACTTACTTTTTTCCAGCACTTTCAAACAAAATAACACTGACTCACTATAATTTGTGTGATATCCTATCTTCTTAGATTTTTTAAAATATTTCTAAACTCAGTGCAAGCTGGCGAAGCTCTGAGACTGCGACTCTCAGGTTTTTAAGTTCAAAATGTATTGCGGCCACAAAGCGAATACCAACATCCTACAACTTACACAATTTTATAAACATATATAATAAATTTTTTACTTCATAGGTTCTTTTATAAATAATGTATATGTTTTGATATTATAAGATAGTATGATGTAAGTAAATAGGTACTATCAGTGTATGTGTTGAGATCCACTATCGTGGACCCCCATATTCATTTCATGGGCCCCCAAATTTTTTTTCGTTGACGTAGACCCTTTGCAGGTTGTCATAGACCCCTAGGAGTCGATATAGACCACTTTGGGAATCAATGTCTTAGAGCATTCGCTATGATTCAAATACTGGTTTCCTGGGTTAGGGATTAGGATTCAAGAAACTGAAACAATATTGTCAATCATTTGCAATTTAATATAAACAGTATTTCCGACTATATCAAGATATGAACATTTCAAGGCAAATCCAGATAGTTGACGTTGAAATGACTTACCTGTGGCACTCGAATTCCGAAGCATCATTCGGCACACAGCTTACTACCTACCTCGGAAGAGGTCAATTCCGCTATTTCATTCCTGTACAACAAATATTCCAACGCACTCAAAAATGAATACACATATAACTGGTAATTTTAATTTTTTATTGCCCAAAATCCCGCAACATAACATCTAGGATAGATTTGGCTGCGAATACGCATCACCAATTGCGGAAAACTTTACGTTCAAATACCTTCTTGACCATTCTCAAATTTTGAGTTTAGGAGGTCAAGGTCAAGGTCATACTTAGATAGGGTGATGTAACTTGAAAACCAGTAGCTGTATAGGGAAACTACCGAGGCGATTATTTTCATGACTTTTCTAGGATATCCAACGGCGACCTTGGATCTAATCTTAACAATGGTGACCTTCAAGTTTATGCGAGGGACAATTCGATTTTTGTAGATTACACAGTTTATGGAATTATTAAGAACTTAAGGTGGACTTGTGTTTGACCTTGATGGTCAAGTTTCAAAAATGGTCAAGGACATATTCGAACAAGAAATTTTGCCTTTTCTCCACTTCCGCGGTCAAAAGTATAGGGTTCCATTAAGAAAGACTTGACCTTCAACTGACCTTGAAAATCATGGCCAGGGTCACCCAAATCATGAAAATAATATCTCGGTAGTTTCTCCATATAGCTATTGGCTGTCAAGTTATATCACGGTACCTGGGATAGACCTTGACCGCGACCTGCTAAGGTCGAAATTTAGGAATGGTCAAGATTATACTTGAACGAGCCCAAACGTTTAATGAAAATCTATGTTGAAAATGAGTTCTTATTACAGCATGCGGATTTTCTACTGCCCAAACATGATTGTTGTGGAAAGTGTATACTCCATCTCGT